GGAAAGAGAGAAGGAAGGGAGGAAGGAAGGAAGGAAGGAAGGAAGGAAGGAAGGAAGGAGGGAGAGAGGGAGGGAGCGAGGGAGCGAGGGAGGGAGGGAGAGACAAGATTCAGAAGTAGGAAATATATTTTATATTTTTATAGTGTCAAAGTTCCACTTACTATGGTATTTCAGGCTAATACCTTTATTAGGAATAAATGAATTACATCTGGAATATTCTTACACAATAAATCAATGATTCTCTATGCACTTACAATTTAAGACACTGTGATTTTGTGCAATTGCAAGGCTTTTTTGATTTTGTATCCCAGGAACCACAAGGTAACCTACATGGTGGGAGAGGAAAAATATGGTGCATCTGTACTATACTGGAATAGATTCTCATTTAGAGTGCATGCAGTCAGGTTTCGCCAGTTCTGCCCAAAGGCATCCACTTCACTGAAAACTGTAGATAAGAGGGTCATGAGACCATGCTAAATGAAGTGAGCTGTGCTAAGAGGAGGAGAATAATCAATAATCAGGCACAGGATTTTTGGAAAATTGAGTTTAGATGGGAAAATTGAGTTTTCCCATCTAAGGAAGGTAGATTATTCAGCCAATCTTATTTAGCAATATGTATATATAATGCTCATTAGAAAAATGTCATACATAGACCAGTGAAGCAGAAAGAAAACAGAACCCTCAACTCTCTTTCCCTCCATCTCTTTATATCTCTTTTGCTGCTCAAGTCCCTGCTTTCATTGCTGCCAGAGTAATGAAACTCTCACTTAAACTCTTTCAGTTTACCATTATATGGATGAAACAACCTTGGATCCTAACATAAGTTACCTTAAGAAAGTTAACAGAAGGAATGTTTTCCATCTGTCATCCCTGTAGAAGCTTGAGCACCACATCCTACATTTTCAGGGAGGTCTCTTTCAGATGCTATTCAGTAGATGCAGGTGGTTGGAAGATAGAGAAAGTAGGAACATTTCCTTCCACTAAAGCCATTTTGTTAACTTATCTCAGGATCCAACCCAATTTATTTATTTCCAGCTTCTATTCCTATTGCAATATACTGTAGCTGAATAATCCATCTAGCTTAAACCAGTTGATTAATGTGTAGCTTGACAACTTGACATGAACAATAGTTTGTGCAATGCTAAATTTAACCAAAGATTTCAGAATTTGTCCCCTTGTTCATATTATTTGATCATAAAGATAAAATGAACTATCAGCAACAATTTAAAGTTGTTGTTATTGTTGTTGTTAAATATGGGCATGGGTAAAACTGAGGACCATTAAGGAAGAAACTGAAGGCTTGATTTTTGCTACAGAAGAAGAAGCACTCCAAACCAATGTAATGAAAACTAAGATTCAAGTAATTAGTGCTAACAGCAAATGTTGACTCTGCCAAGAAAAAGATGAAACAGTGTCACACCCCTTATGTGAATTTCCAAAGATTGCACAAACAAGTTACAAAATTAGACATGATAGAATAGCAAAATTAAAGCACTGGTCATCATTCAAAAAATATAACTTGCTAGCCTCCAAAAACCCACGAGAACATCAGGTAGAGAAGGTGTCAGAAAATGACAAAGTCAAGATCTTGTGGGATTTCCAGATCTAAACTGATAGACACCTTGAACATAACATACCATACATAGTAGTAACAGAACAAAGAAATGTCTGGATCATTGTAATACAGGGGGTGCCAGAGCTGAAAATAAAGAATTGCAAAAACTAACAAAATACAGAGATCTGACAATTGAAACATCTCGCTTGTGGATGAAATACATTTCAGTGGTCTCCAAAGTCACCTGGGCTTTAGGAACAATATCAAGAAATTTCACACAGCATTATAAGCAGTTGCAGATCTCAAAAATAACGCCATCAGAATTTTTTTTAATTGCAATATTAGGAATGTGCCAGTATATAACAGAATTTTAACTAGAGATTGGGGGTATTCTTCTACAAATATCCCCCACAGGTGCAGATAATGAGGGTCCAGTGCCCTGGGATCAGACCAACCACTCACGATTTCGCTGCTGCTGCCAGCTCCACAGAGCCTTCCTATTGCTCCATTGCGCATGATAGATTAGCCAGTTCTGGCAGAAGGCAGGATGACGACCCTCTGTGCCAGGTCGCAGAGTGGCTAACCCACTGCAAGCAATGGAGAGATAGGAAGGCTCTGTGGAGCTTGCAGCAGCGGCAGAATTGTGAGTGGTTGGTCTGATTCCAGGGCACTGGACCCTCATTATCTGCACCTGTGGGGGATATTTGTAGAAGAATACCCCCAATCTCTAGTTAAAACTTGTATCTATTATACAATACCAGTCAATGTTTTTATAATTTTGATTGACTGTGTCTGGTATTTTTGATTAATAATAATATCTTATGAAATTCATAGTGAAGACACTATATTTTTATATTAACATTTAAGTATTGTGGTGATAACTGGCATAAATGATCATGTCTTATAATGAAGCGGTTGATAGCTATTTATTTTCCTTACCCAACTAAAGTCAGTTTCATTGGTTCTTGAAGATTTGAGTCTGAATATGTGTGAATGGATCCATTATCAAGTTGCTTAAAATAAAAATGAGAAATACAATTTGAATTGTGCTATAATTTTAATACAGTTTTATAGATAAAAAAGAAAACTATTACAAGAATTAGATATAATAATGAAATTTGTTGTATATCGTATTTGTACATACAGGAACAAGTCCTGGGAAAATTCACTCTAGAAACACTATTTCATTCTAAAGAAATCAATTATTTTTTTAAAAAATTATGTTATAGACACCACTGTATGAGAATCTCTATATACTACTGAATAGTGGTATTATTTTTTTACATCGCTAATTAGGACCAGATAGGAGCACCATAGATGCCTTAAGATTCTTTGCTGTTTTTGCTGTAACAGACTGAAAACAAGCAAAGTCCAGGTGGATGAGTTATGGATTAGAAAATAATTTTAAAAATGTATGCATATTTATTGGAATATGACTTGGAGGATGAGAGGGTGAAGGAAACGATGGTAAAATGGGCACAGAATTTTGGGTTCAATATTGATATTGACAAATTGATAAAGATGTGGAAAGAGAATCATAAAATGATTAAGCCAGTGAATCTTAGAGAAAACGTTCTTAAAATGTTTCATAGATGGCATTTTACCCCGTAAGATTGGCAAAAATGTCAGAAGGTAAGAGTAATGTTTGTTGGAAGTGTAAAAAAAAATCCAGGGACTTATTATCACATGTGGTGGTCATGTGAAAAAGCAAAAAAATAAAAATTAAAATTTTTTTAAAAATGGATAGACATTGGGGAAATTTAATTTTCAACAAAAAATAAATTTTAAACCTGAAATGTTATTATTGAATATAATGCCAGAAAATATTGACAATAAAATAAAATAAAATATTGTCTACTGTATATATTCACAGCAGCTAGGTTACTCTGGGCCCAAAAATGGAAGAATGAAGAGACACCAACGATAGATGAGCTAATTAAATAAGCTGTTGGACGTTGCAGAACTAGACATGGTTTCAGAGGCACTACGGGATCAACCAAGACACTTTGTAAAGCAAAGCTGAAAGCTGATATAAAACTGGGCCCAGAAAAAGACAGGAACTTAGGGGGAAAATTAGTCTATAGCAAATCAGTGCTCACCAGAATCCCCTTGAAGATATTTAGATGATCAGACAATGGTGATATCTCTGATCCATAGGGGAAGGAAGGATGTTTAGCTCTGTTCTTTTTTTTTCCCTTTTGTCTGTGTGTTTGTTTTGTTAATTATCTGTTAGATTGTTGATGTTTTTAAGTTTGTATATTTAGATATGAGTAAAATGGAATTTAAAAAAACAAGCAAAGAACTATCAGTAGATATATTTGGGGAAGGGCTAACAAAATGAAAAAGTATATAGGTAGAAAAAAGTAATGGGATAAGATGGAGAGAGAACTGGACTGAATGGGGAGAATAAAGAGGCAAAGAAAATGACAAATATATATATGGTAGAGGGGAGCAACTGGAATAGAGAGATACTGTATATTATATGGGTTTTTAAAAGTGAAGTGAGTGATGAAAGGAAAGAGAAAGGAGAGGATAAAAGGAAGAACAAGAGAATAGGCAGGTAACAGAAAATGGTGAAGATAAGGGAATGTAAGAAAGACAATTGAGAATATCAGGAGGGACAATTGAGAATATCAGGAGGGAGAAAGATGAAGGAGTAATGGGGTTGGAAGGGGCCTCTAAAGCAATTTCGTCCAATCCCCTACTCAAGACCGACAACAGATAAATTGAAGACGCTGGAAAGCAAGATGGCAGGGCCAGAGAGAAGAAGAAAGTGAACTGACAAAAGATGGAGATGAATGGAAGGGATTTCCACAAGGCTAGCTCTGCTTCTCTTCTGTAGCAAATTAATGAAGTCTTGTAGCTCCTTTAAGACTTAAAGATTTATAGCATGTGGACAGATTGAAGAATTTCAGATGTAGGAGGTGAAGTTTCCTAGCTAACTGCAACTATCTACTTTCAGTTAATAAGTGATGAAACAAGTAGTCCTGAAGTTATACAAAAAGGAATGTAATTACAAAATTACTTTTAGATGCAACAAGTAACAAGTTCTAATTACTTTCCAACATCATTTTGAAAGGACATTTTAGAGACATTTTGATGGGTTTTTTCCCAGGTTTTATGCCATTCTCTAATTGATCCTAAGTGGAATAGAAGAAGCCAGAGGACAGAGGAGGAGCCTCCTCGAAGAATGGAAGGCATTGCAAGCACACTTGGGTGTCCCCTGGACAGTGCCATACAGCCAGCCAATCCTTCACTTCCAGAAGCATTGCACTGCAAACTTGCTTATGAACAAAATGGCCCAGGGGTCTTTTTAGGATCACAAATGACAATAATTTCTAACATTCTAATTTGTTTTTAACTTTTACCTGTATTTCAGAATCAGCCATAATTTTAAATATTGCATCAGCCTGATATAAATAAAGATTGGTGCTAAATGGTAACAGAGTATTCCTTGGTTTTGTCTTTCTTATAAGTATGTGTAAGATTCAATATCAGAATTGATGACTAGAGGAAACCAGAGAGTACTACCATGTATTTTTCGGCTAGGTGATAACAGTACACGGAATCACTTGTGCTTTTAGAGAGCAAAAGTAATAGCAACAACCTGACTGCTAAAAGCAGAGAGTAACAAATGGTTAGGGATGGGAAACAGGCAGTACATATGGTTGGGAGGAGGAAGTGGAGAATGAAGTAAGAGCAAATTTAAATGTAGAATTTAAATCACATCAGTATAAATGCCCTAGCACTAAGAGGTATGGTAAGAATCTTGATTCTTGATGTTCTGGTTGGTTGATAAGCTCACACTCTATCCACTTTGTCTCACATTATAAAATAATTAAAAGTTTTCCTTGGGGCATCTATTCCTGAAACCCCAAGGAATATAGAAAATCATAATGAATGTAATAATTTTTCTAGTAGTAGGCATCCTTCAGTCTCGAGAGACTATGGTAACGTGTTCTGAATAGAAATAGAGAGGTTACTTACCTGTAACCATGGTTCTTCTAGTGGTCCTCTGTGAATTCACACAAGTGGGTTGTTCTGCGCCTGCACAGGAAGTTTCGGAAGTTTCTAGAGCTTAAAAACATTTGACAATGAGACATCCCCCATGGAGCGCATGCTCTGCCCTCCAAACGTCTCCTCAGTTCCTTCCATAGTCCGCCACTGTCAAGGTGTATGAATTCACAGAGGCCAACTAGAAGAACCATGGTTACAGGCAGGTAACCTCTCTTTCTTCTTCATGGGCTCCGTGAATGCACACAAGTGGGTGACTGACAAGCTCACTTACCGGATGGTGGGACATCACGGTAGCAGAGATGTCAGAATGGCTCTGCTCAATGCAGTATCATTTATTGCCCTGACAGCGAGGCAGTAATGCTTGACAAAGGTCAAGGGGTTGGACCATGTTGCTGTTCAGCAGATGTTTGATAGTTCTATCCCACTATATAGAGCAGTGGATGTTGACAATGCTCTGGTGGAATGGGCCTTTAGATCTTCAGGAGGCGTTTTGCCTGAAAGTTCATAGGCTAATGAGATAGTCTGTACTATCCAATGAGAGATGGTCTGAGCTGATGCTGGAGCATCCTTGTGAGGACCACAGAATCATAGGAATAGTCTTGGGGACTCCCTAAATGTCCTTGTCCTGTTGCTATAAAAGACTAGAGCCCTTTGGACATCCAGCATATGGAGCACGCATTCGATGGATGTAGAAGGAGAAGGAAATAGAGTTAGCAAAATCACAGGTTGATTCAAGTGGAAATAAGAGACAATTTTGGGTAAGAATGAAACATCAAAATATAGGGTGACCTTGTCTGGATGGAACTGCAGGTAAGGTGGATCTGATCGAAGAGCTGTTAGCTCACTGGACCTCTTGGCAGATGTTATTGCCACAAAAAACACAATTTTAAATGATAATAGTTTTAAGTTACATGTGGCCATAGTTCAAAGGGTGGTTTGGTAAGAGAATTTAGGACCAGTTGTAGTGACCACTGGGGCACGGGTTGCCTTCTTGGGGGTTGAATATTTTGAAATCCTTTAAGGAATCTTCTTAAAGTTGGGTGTGAAAAGAGTTTTGCTGACTGGGAATGTGAAGGTTGATGGGCCACAATAGCTGATTTATACACTTTCAAGGTTGAATGTAAAAGTCCTAAATCAAAAAGATGTAAAATGAAGGTAAGTATTGTTTTAAGGGAAACTGATATTTATATCAAGTTTCGGGATTCAGTGAATGAAATGAAAGATTTCCATTTGTTTTGACAGAGCTTCTGTGTTGATGGCTTTCGAGCTAAGATGGTTCGAAAGGCAGGAGTACCTCCAAGCTGTCAGATTCAGACATTGGATGTCTGGGTGGAGGATCACTCCATTGCTCTGAGACAGGAAGTTGGGTATTGATGGTAGATGGAATGCGTCTGTCGACATTGACCTCAGGTGGGTGAACCACGGTTGTCATGGCCACCATGGAGCAATGAGTATGACATCGGCTTGAAATTGACGAATTTGAATAATTGATCTCTGAATCAAGGGAATTGGAGGGAACACTCCAATAGTAACTCTCCGGTCCAGTCTATCATGAAAGCATCACTCAGTGATTTGGGGTTGATGCCAGCTCGAGAGCAATACCTTTGACATTTGGTGTTGTGTCTGGATGCAAAGAGATTGATGGACGGGTGTCCTCATCGATGACAGATGGTATCGAAGATGTGATCATCCAGTGTCCATTCGTGTATTCATGTGCAAAGTTGACTCAGGTGATCTGCAATGTAGTTGTCCTCTGTTGAAATATGGGCAGCTATTGGAAATATGTGGTGGAGGTAACACCATTCCCACAGCTCTATGGTGAGGTAAAGGAGTGAAACGGAGTGGGTACCTCCCTGTTTGTTCACATAATACATTGCAGTAGTGTTGTCTGAGAGTAATTGCAGTGCTTGTCATGCAATGAGTGATAAAAATGTGTGGAAAGCTTTTATGATTGCTAACATTTCTAGGTGGTTGATATGTAATAATTGTTCTTTTT